TCTGTCTGTCTGTCTGTCTGTCTGTCTGTCTGTCTGTCTCTGTCTATCTGTCTGTCTGTCTATCTATCTGTCTGTCTCTGTGTCTGTCTATCTATCTGTCTGTCTCTGTGTCTGTCTATCTGTCTCTGTGTCTGTCTATCTATCTGTCTCTCTGTCTAGCTCTCTGTCTGTCTATCTGTCTGTCTGTCTGTCTCTCTCTCTGTGTCTGTCTATCTGTCTGTCTCTGTGTCTGTCTATCTGTCTGTCTGTCTGTCTGACTGGCTGTCTCTCTGTCTGTCTGTCTGTCTGTCTGTCTGTCTGTCTGTCACTTCAAGACTAATTATTTGAGTGTGTAATAATGTACTTGGCAATAAATATATCATTCTGATTATGCAAATATAATGAATATAATAATTATATAAATTAGAATAATAAAAATACCATGGTGTATATGACGCATATTAAACAATATTACCATTATAATATTCACAAACAGGGGCCATGAAAGGCTCTTATTATAAAGTGTGAATTAGGGCTTTTGTTTTGAAATGATCCTCGTTCCCGGAAGTAACGCAGTAATTTATTTTTCATTCTCAAACGTCATTGTTGTTTTCACGCGTTTTCGCTCTAATAATAAACATAATTCTGTTCAGCGTGTATGGCCTATAGTTCTGAAGAAACCCCGTCAGCACGGGCCCGGTCTCTGGGTTAAAGCCGCGTGTCTGGAGCAGTGGAGCAGTGGAGCAGTGTGTCGGGGCTCGATGAGTGTGTCTCTGGTTGTGATCAGACTCGAGCTCGCTGATCGGTCTGAGTCCCCGCACGGCTTTCAGTACTGCGCCGGTGAGTTTCACTCCTTCACTGTTACTGAACTGACACTGGCTTTGTTTACCACGGTACAGGATGATGGCCATATTCATATACCATGGTGTCATCATCTTATTATCATCAGTACAAAAATGCATTATGTTTTTGGACATGCCACAAGGTATGAAAATACCATGAAAATATTGTTTCCTAAAGTGACATACAGTGACATGGTTTATATGAAAATAGTATTATTAAGGGTAATCATACCTGCATATGCGTTACTTGATTTTCATATTAAATAAATAAATAATAATAAACAATATAATTATGTAATTATTTATTATTATTATTATTATTTTCTGGGTCCCAAAGTTACAGAGCTTGATAAACAAAAGTAAAACACAACATTGAGACAATTCATTAGAACAAACAGGATAATGAAACGATAAAAAAATAAACTGGATAATCAGTAAAATGATAATAATAATTATTATTGCTAATGTTATTAGATATTTTCTGGGACACACATTTTCTGGATAACGAAAACAAATACAGTGAAAAAGTAATCATAAACTGAATAACAATAAAAAAATTATATACTTATTTGTTTTATTATTATTATTATTATTTATTGTTATTATTTTATTTTATCAGTAGCAGTAGAATCACGGACCTGAGCTGAAGGAATAGCAAAGAAACGTATGATTATGGTAAATATCGTGATCATCTGGTTTTGTTAACAGAGAGCATTCATTCACACACTCAGTGTGTTTGAGCTCTGAGCTTGCTTCTAGAATCTCTTTGAGGCCTTTATGTTGAGGCTTGGTGTCGCAGCTCACATCTCCTGTGTCCCACAGTTTCAGAGATGTCAGAGGACGAGATGAGAGAGAAAGCGCTGACCTCTGCTAGAGCGACGCTGGGCGGTAAACCGGAGCTGGAGCGAGCGGCCGTCCTCCACCAGCACCTGGGCAGCCGCGTCATGAGCGACATGGTGATCGAGACCTTCCAGCCCAGCGCAGGTCTGCAGTTACTCTCTTTCATCTGACACTCGTTTAACCCCTGATGAGTAAACGCACTGTATTTTTCCATCAGGAGCCGAGGACGGTAAAGAAGATCTGAAGTCCACAGCTGACGTAAACGGAGAAGTCAACGATCAAACGGACGAGAGTGTGACTCCAGACTCTCCCTCCAAACAGCTGCCGGATCAGATCTCATTCTTCAGCGGAAACCCGTCAGTGGAGATCGTCCACGGCATCATGCACCTCTACAAAACTAAGTTAGTTCTATCTATCTATCTATCTATCTGTCT